CCAAGCCTCCGGACCAGGCACCGCGCCCTGCCTGAGCCCCTGCGCCAGGCCCTGACCCGAAGAGCGATCCCCGCGCCGCAATTACCCCGAATTAATGATCTCGAATAAACACGAGATTAACAGCCTGTTGACAATGACTTCTGCATTTAAAACAGCCTCAATGAACAAGGTAACCCTTTTAACAGTTTCCTGCTAGCGTGGCGACAATGGTGCTCCACTCCGGGAGGTGAGGGTCCTTAGACCTCTCAGACCGCGTGCTCGAGGCTAGCACTGAGGGGCCTACTGCTGCCTGGGGATCCCCCGCCCGCCCGCCGCCCGCACGTGCGCCCTGCCACGGGGCCATCGGCCGGCCCCTCGCCCTTTCCTGCAGCACCGTACGACGACGACCCTCCCCTTGGCCTTCCCAGCGAGGGCCACCTTCCCCTTGGCCAACTTGCCCACCGCCCGACAATGAAAATACACCTATCACAACTTTCCTCGCACAATCACAACCTTCTTTTCACAATCGCAACTTTCCCTTTCCGCGCTGGCTCTGGCGTCGTCCTCGTCGGCTCCTCGTCGCTTCTCCCGCCGCCGCCGCTGCGAGGGATCCAGCTCGAGCCGCCCACGAGATCTCCCGGACAAACATCCGCCGTCACTATCGCCGCCGCCAGATATCCCGCTCGCCCTTCTACGCCGTCATATCCCCTCCCCCCCTCCCCTTGGCCTCACGCTCTCCCACCCCCCACCCCACCCACCTCAGCCTATCCGTTACACCCTCCCTCCTCCCTTGCCCCTTACGCTTTCCACCCCCCCCCTCCTCTTACCCTATCCTTTATCCTATCCTCTTTCCCTTCCTCCCACGTCCCCTCACTCCCCCTCCCCCCCTTTCATCTTCGGAGTACGACTGACAAAGGGGAGAAAAAGAGGGAAAGAGAGCGACTGAGAGTAATTGATGTGAATGGAGGAGACGATAGGATGGAAATGGAGGAAGATATGGGTCAAGTAGCAATTACGGTACAAACGGTGGAGAGGGACAGGGAAGAAGGAAGAGAGAAAAGGTCATGGAGAGAGAGATAGAGATAGGGATAGAGATAGAGATAGATAGACAGATAGAGAGAGAGATACATAGATAGAGAGAGAGGGAGTGAGGGAGAGAGAGAGAGCAAGGAAGTTGCAAAGGCGCAACAGTTGCATGTGAGTGGAGAGGCCGATGAGAGGAAGCTGAAGGGAGGAGGAGGA